GGAAAATATTTTTAGATAACTATTGATTAATCACATTTTTTTTTATTATGACCTTATGCGTTCTTCAAAAGATTATGTTTTGTATTTGTTATTATGTAATGTGATATTGACTTGCAACGTTTATTTTTTGGTTGACTTGGATTTATATGCTTTGGTGTCCGTTTCGTTCACCTTGTATTTTCATGTTGTCTTTTTTTTTTATAAGTAAAATATTTGATAAGAGGAAAAAAGAAACAAAGAGAGAACGTACCATACAAGATGGATTCATAAAAGATCTGGCAAAGAAAAAATAAGAAATAATTACACAAATTATTTAATTAATTATATAACTTTGTGTGTCTAAAAATATGTATTCGTACAACTAAAAAAAATCCCAAATAAAAGAAAAATAAGACTCGGGCATGAACTTTATAGTTGAATGTTTCTTCTCGGGATCTTTGTTTCATGTTTTTCATTTGTTTTTTGGGCTGCCAGACTGGAGACTCATCCTATCATCCTGTGTATGTATGTATCTTTTTCATTATCCTTTGAATTTTAGTTTTATTAAATGTTTTCTTATCATATATATATATATATATATATATTCTTTATGTATATATATTGGATAGTGAAAAAAGTCATCTATTCGAAAAGATATTACCAGGTCAGCTCTATATAATATTTGAATTCAGCTTCTAGCTCGACAAAAAAGAAACAATTTGTAGCCCCCTTTCCTTCCCCTTCCATATATAAATGGTAGAAATATGGCTAAAGGCTAGTTTTTTGGGGACATTTGCAAAAATAATTGACCCAAGAAGATATATATATATATATATATACATGTCTATGCATGCAATATACAACTGTACAACATATATTTGTATCAATTGAATATCTTGAATTACATCTAGATTTGTTTTAAAAATTACATCAAAGTTTTTGTCCCCTGCAAGCTTCTATGATTACAACATTGGTGCGACGAATAATAATTTTTTTATCAAGCTGGTCTCTTTAGCACTTGATAAAAAAAAAATCCTAATTACCGGAATTGATTTCTTAAAGAGACCAGCATGATGCAGGAATAGATGGAGGAGAATTGAACAATCAGGAGAGTCCATTCAAACATGTACGTCTTCAAGGTTGAGTAATGTACGGAAAATATTTTTATATCACAATTGACTAATCGCGTTTTTTTTATTTTTATTTTTTATTATGACCTTATCCGTTCATCAAAAGATTACGTTTTGGATTTGTTATTATGAAACGATATTGACTTGCAACATTTATTTTTTGGCGACTTGGATTTATATGATTTGGTGTCCGTTTCGTTCACCTTGTATTTTCTTGATGTCTTTTTGTTTTTATATAAGTAAAATATTTGACAAGAGGAAAAAAGAAAGAAAGAGAGAACATACAATACAATAGATGGATTCATAAAAGATCTAGCAAAGAAAAAATAAGAAATAATTACACAAAATATTTAAATAATTATAAAACGTTGTGTCTAACAATATGTAGTATTACAACTAAAAGAACACAAATAAAAGAAAAACAAGAGTCGGGCATTAAGTTTATAATTGAATATTTCTTCTCGGGATCTTCTTTTCATGTTTTTCAATTTTTTTTAATTTTATAATTCTCTAATTGTGCCAAGTCGTACCAAGATCTCAAGGTTACGTACTCTTCATTCTTTTCTTGGAAGCAATTGTCCAATTGTTGGTTGTCAATGCATTTTTGGCTTCAAGATGTTGATCTTAAGGAGTATATCCGCCCACGATCTCTCTCGTAGTGCATCCAGTTGACAATCTGTAGCAACATTGGAAGGAGCCAGCATAATATCTCATATATATATATATATATATATATATATATATATATTTTACCAACCATATTTATATGTGTATATATATTACATCTACTTAAAATTATTATATGAGAAAATTGTTGAATTTATTGTTAAATTGCATGAATTTAGATTTTTATCTCTTATTTTTTACTAATACCTTTTTTTACTGATATAGTTATTTGAATGAAAATGATCTTAATTAAGAGTAAGAGATAAAAATCTAGACTCACGTATTTTAAAAAATATTTGTCTTTTATTTCCTTATTATATTAAATAAACATCATATTTAGTCATTTGCCTAATTTTCCTTATTATATTCTTTCTTTTATATGTTAGATTATGTAAGATTAATCTTTTCAAAGTACAAGAAATAAACCTTACAAGAACTCTTTCTTATTAAACTAAGCGTGATCCTTGCTTCCACATGGTTCATATTCCTCTTATTATTCTTATTATTCTTATTATTATTATTATTATTATTATTCTTATTATTATTATTATTATTATTATTATTATTATTATTATTATTATTCTTATTATTATTATTCTTATTATTATTATTATTAAAATAATCTCAAACACTTTTACCACAAGACTCGAATTAAAACTTCTGATTTATTAAAATCACTCGAAAATAATCTTAAAATTAACTTATTGGATTTCTTCAACAATAAAAAATTCAGCAAAAAGAAGAAAATAAGTTGATTTATTAAATGAATCTTTTTCGGTTCATTAACATACTGAAAGGTTAAATTTTATATATGTTAAATTTATATAAAATCACATAAAAAAAAAAAAATTCAACGATTAAAAAATTTAACTTACCGATATCGCAGACCGCGGACGTAATAGAAAATCTTCCTTTATCGAAAAAAGGAAAAAAAAAAAAAAAAGAAGAAGAAATAATGTAAGACATAATTGATTAAGCCGTTAAGAAACGGCGTTATTGCCGACGAGGCAGAGAGCATGGTATAAAAACGAGCAACAGAAACGCACAAAAAAACAATAATAAAAACACCTCCATTATAACTCAAACCATTTGCAGAGACCCCCCAAATTCTCTCTCTCTCTCGCCGAGAAAAGCCTTCAAATCTTTCACAGATCGGACCGAAAATGTGAGTTATTTACCACATTTGCCACATTTCTCTCTCCTCTTTCTCTCTCCTTCAGTTTTCATCTCTGTGCATGCATGAAATCTTCGATTTCTCAGATATCTCGTTTTGCGATTTTTGATCTGTCTTTCAATTTGCTCTCATTTCAATGCGGTTCGATTTTTCCATTTTTTTTCCGTGGAAAATAGTCGTTTGGCTGCCGAGAAAGTGTAGGTAGAAAATGAAATGAAAAAGTTATTTGTTTATTTAACGTATAATGTAGCCTAGGCGAACTGATTGGCCTGTATTAGTGAATGTGTTTGTGATTTCAATTTCCTTAAAAAAGCATTGCTTGCAGTGTTTGCTCCCGGAGGTTTCTTATTTAACCAAGAAATTCGTCTGTTTGGAAAGGTGCTGACCAAATTCTACTTGGGCTGGAAGTGAGAACTTGAGATATCATCTTGTAATATGGAGACATTTCTATGTTATTTGAGCAGAAGGTCATTTATGGTTTTGGCATCATATAAGATTTTTTCCCCCCTAGATTGCTTCCTGTTTTATTTGATCTTAGTTTCTTGCTTTAATTATGTTTGTATTATTATTATTATTATTATTATTATTATTATTATTATTATTATTATTATTAATGTTAGGAAAAAGAGAAAAATACTCTTTAAAATGTATGAGTTTGGATTTTTATAACTTTTTCTTGATTAATATTCTTTTTAGTGAAATATTATATTAATTAAAAGCATATTAATCTATAACAACGGATAAAAATTTATACGCATGCACTCTAAAAGTAATTTTAACAATTTTTGCTGTTTTTTATTATAATTTTCTAAGAATAAATAATATTTTCTCTACATATAGGATTGGGTGGGGTCGGAACAATATCGCCAAATTTGCCTAATGGCACAGGTCCCATGAAACCTCATTGGTTTGGGCATAAATAAGCTCACATTATTAAAATGAAAGTTGTTGGTCACGTGTTCGGGAGGAAAAGGGTCAATCAATTAATGTTAGCAGATATCTTATCTTATATTAAAATGTGTTTAAAGGGCTAAAGGGTAATTAAAGTAACTTTAAAAATTGAATCGAGATTATTTATAAAAAAAATTATTTTTGGGAGTTTTTATAAAGAAAATTACGGATACTACATCTTTTAAGTTTTTAACTTATTAAAAGTACATCTTTTAAAAATAAAAAATAAAAAACTCTACCCCTTGACTAATTATAATTTAAAAAGTAAAAATATATGAGTTAATGTTAAAGAGTAGAAATAAAATACGACTCCATTTCAAGAGTATTTTTAAAAATTATCCCATGTTATAAGTGTAACGATCTTTGGGTACTTCGTACTAAGGGGGTGAACAAAAACACGACAACCGG